TTGTTAGTTTGTTTTGTGCTCTTTGTATTACATTTAGATTTGTTTTTGCCGCTGAGCCCAAAAGCTCAATCAAATAGTCAATATGTGGTCCAATTAAAGAAATAAAAAATAAATATTATGTATAAGATATTAGTTATAAATAAACAAGAATAGTTACGTGTACGGTAAGAGAACTTCAAAGTATATAATACTTTATCTCATAAATAACTTTCACCAGGCGCCCGACTTGTGCGTCCTGTTGCTTGTTATTATATCGCGGGTGCCGTGGACACACATAGACAACCACAAATTACACCCAAACTCACGAAAGAAATAAATGTAGGCCATACTAATATTTCTCCTTGTCTGGGAATCGAACCCGGAACCTCTGTGTGGCAGTTCAGCATTCAGGTCACCCTTTGGCCACGGAGGCAGTTAAATCCATAATAACACCATTTTTAGTACATTAAAATTGTATTAGCTTAGTAACATTTTTAATAGAGATGTGCATATTTTAAAAAGAACTTTAAAGTATATTTTATGTTACAGTGAAAGAAGCAATGTCGGGCGTGAAATTCAACCGCTGGGGTCTACCAGAAGTGGACAACACGAGCATGCAGAGCGTGAGCGAGCCAAGGGTGTTTGTTGGGGGAGACTTGGCCGGTGTGGCTGAAACCACTGTTGAATCCGTTAACGACGGCAAGACCGCGGCTTGGCACATGCACTGCTATTTGCAGGTTGGGCTTGTAAAAGTTTTTTAATCTATCACCATATCGGCCTCACTGTCCTCTGCATTGATATGAAAGTATTGATTTTTTGGTTTTTGATTGATTGATAAGTAGTGGACCGAATACAAAGAATCCTTTTTATTTGTACACAAAGGAGTCAATTAAAGATTCTTTAAAATAATAGTAGATTGTACAACAAGTGCATAAAACGCGTCATTTTACTCGAGATGCAGGCGAGGGTGGATACTTAAGTCGAGGGTGAAATAGCAATATTACAAATAAATGATTATTTAATTGAAATTGAATGTGAAATTACAACAATTACACATATTTCATTTGATGGTTTTTTATTTTATGCACTAGAGCATAAAATTATATTTTATGCAGCCTACACCCAGCATAAATACGAACTTTAAGAGCATGAGAAGTGAAAAATAAGTTTAGTCAATGTCACTCTGGATTTTAAGCTTGAGATTCAAAGAAAACTTTGCCATTAATAATTAAAAAGTGCAAACTGTAAACAAATATAACTTAGTGTGAAATAGCTATCTGTTTTTCGGAACCTCAGTAGAATAGAAGAAAGTAAACAAGACGGGTAACTGCGACCAAAATAGCAGTTTTCATATTTCGTTCCGTAGTAGAGCTCCTTGTCAAAGTTTTTTTTTAACGTACACAGTCATAGCCCCGCACTAGAAATACCCATAGCCATGGACACACACATAGACAACCACAAATTACACCCGCGAGAGAGATAAATGTAAGCTATACTAATATTTATCCCGGCCTGGGAATCGAACCAGGGACCTCTGCGTGGCAAACCATTATGGTAACCGTTCAACTAATATGGGGGCAGTATTTCTGCCGCCAGTAATGTGAGTGCCAACCGTGTTAGTCCCGTTGATATCACAAAAAGTATTTAAATTGAAAGCAACACTGAATGGAAGAAAGGTTTTTTCAGCAGCGACAATTGTGATTTGTACCTTTAGAAGTTATATTGGACCAGTACCTGTACAAGACATGTTTAAATAATAATAATAATAATAATATACCTGTCTATCTACAGGGACTCCCCTTTGACTCGCTAGTAGAGCTCCCCAAGTTCCACTGCCCTATCGACGACGTGGATTTGTCGGTGGAAGTGTGTGGCATCAAATTCGAAAATCCATTTGGCCTGGCCAGTGCCCCACCTACCACCAGTTCGGCTATGATACGACGGGCTTTCGAACAGGGATGGGGATTCGTCGTTACTAAGACTTTTGGGCTTGATAAGGTAAATTGAATTTCGAAAATTGCGTAACTTTATACATAGTTTGTTAAAACAAATATGATAACTCATTATAAACGTAGCAGTGCAGTTAATATATGTACGCGCCCGCCGTGTGCCATTTAGGAATGCACACATTCGCATAATCTCGCGATGCAGTTGCGTTGCATAACACTGGTCGTTGCAACGCGCCTTTCATTATTATGCGAATGTGTGCGTCTGTACATGGCGCGGAACGTGCTTGCACACATATAAGCTGCGCTGCTGCGTATGAATAGAGTTATCACACTTGTCTTATTTATTATATTACCACGCTTTATCTCCAATATACACGCTTTATCAAGAGTCAAAATCTAATGAACGAATACTTCGTTTTTTAATGCATATTAAAAAGTTAGAAGTGATGCTCAAGTGGTTCGGATAAGTAGAGAGGATGAGTGAAAGAAGATCGACGAAGCAGATTTATAAGGCAAATGTGAGGAGGCTTGTTGGTAAGGGCCAAACAAGATTAAGTTACCACGACCGAATTGAGGACGTGCTGAAGACAGACCAGGATAAGACTACTCTTAATAGACGAGGGTGTAAAAAATATTGATTGGTTAGTCGAAAGACGTGATGAATCATGAAATCAGAATCTGAGAATTACATGAAGATCTTTTTAAGAAAAATATAAGCAGTATTTAAATGATAAATGTTTTTATGATGCAAATTATAAAAACATTTGTGATGTAAGATTATATGAATACGAGATGGATTTAGGGCTAAATTGAAATAGTGTTTATATCTAGTAATCTGTATTAATAAATTTTAACAGAGTTTATGTTATTGTTGTATTTCATTAATTTTTTACTTTGTTAATTATTACTGTATTGATCTCTACATGTTTACTCGTATTATTGTTTCCTGTTTTTAATTATAATACTTTGTACTGAACATTATGAGACTACCACTAACCATATTTGTATGTTTTTACGAAACTGGTTACAGTATTTAAGACCTGTTTAAAATTAATTTATTGTACGTTCTTCCACAAATACTTAAATCTATCTTTATCTTAATAAAAGTAATTATATTGTAATTGTTTTTTTCTTGATTAGGACCTAGTTACAAATGTGTCTCCTCGTATTGTGCGCGGCGTAACCTCTGGCGAGAACTACGGCCCTGGCCAGGGATCTTTCCTCAACATCGAACTCATCTCTGAGAAGCGCGAGGCCTATTGGTGTCAGAGCATTGCTGAACTTAAAAAAGATTTCCCTACTAAGGTAAATACAATTGCCAAAATAAATTATTATAATCATAGTCTGGATAACACTAGATTAAGTAGTAGCAGAGCTCCTTGTGAAAGGTTCCGTCTAGGGAAATACTACCCCCTTACCTATTTCTTCTGCCAAGCAGTAATGTGAGTATTCCAGCGTTCCGGTTTTGAAGTGTTAAGGGTGTTGGTGAAATTACAGGCACATGGGACTTGTCAATTTATGTCTCAGGGTGACGGGCGCAGTGGCAGTGCCCCAAAGATCTTTACGATTTAAAACTCTAAGTACCACCAGGCGCATTGTGCGTCCCGTCACTTCATATTATAAAAAAGAATAATAAATAAATCGTAATAATTATTTTTGCCAGGTAATCATTGCATCAATAATGTGCTCATACAATAAGGACGATTGGTTCGAGTTGGCGCGGAAGGCAGAAGCGGCAGGCGCCGACGCGCTGGAGCTTAATCTTTCGTGCCCTCATGGCATGGGCGAAAGCGGAATGGGCCTGGCTTGCGGACAGGTAATTAACTGATTTACAAGCTATGGTCGCCATATTGGAAGAAGGCGAAAAATAAATTTTGACCACAAATTTTTATCCGGCTCCTTTTTACTCCTATAGGCCTCCAGATTCCAATTTTCAGAAGCAAAAAATTTTTAAATCAGGGCAATCTCTTTCGGCAGCCATTTTTAATTAAAGAAAACACTTATATAATAATAATAATAACCAATAAACGAAACGAACGAAACAATAGCTACATATGGCTTTACAAAGTAATTATTATTATATATTCTTTATTGTACAAAGAAAAGACACATGAAACACACGTTACAATGGATATATACAAAGGTGAGCTTATCTCTATAAGAGATCTCTTCCAGCCAACCCTAGCCGTGGTGCAAAAATGAAGTCTGCGGGACTAATTAATGTACAACAAAATTTAAATTTAAATGTGAATAAAATATAAATGATAATAATATACATACGACAGACATATGCACATACATGAACTTTATATACATAAATACATACATAAGCAGAATATATATTATAATAACAGATTATTTGTTTACAAATATGTTACCTATAAACTATCTAACGCGTTCGACAGGAAGTGCTCTTTTAATTTGTGTTTGAAAGATGCCACCGATGGACTATCACGAATGTTAGCAGGTAGTTTAGGTAGTTTAGGTAGGCAGGTAGGTAGGCAGGTAGTAATGTAGCAAGCTATCTCAAAAACACCTTAATCACTAGGAATACCGTTTATAATGCTTGAGGCGCTACTAACGTGCAAACCCGATATATATACCGTATACCGGCTATACAGAGTTTTTTTAAATGGAAAACCATAGAAGATACGAGGAAACGTTTTTTTTTGTGAAAACAATTTTGTAGTCAATTTTTGTGTCAAGCGTGAGTTGTCCATAAAAATCAATAAAATTGATCAAGTTTTTTTTAGTGCTCATCGACTCACTTTTATGTAAGGACATTTCAGTGTACGGTACGAAAAAAAATCTGGACAGCAGAAATTGAACAAATTTCATAAAAAGTTTTTCACACAAATTGAATAAAATTGAATTTTTTTAGACTCTAGACTCTTTTAGAGTCATTCTTAAAAGGATGACTTTATTGTATCGGAAGAAAACAATGCCTAACAATGCCTAGGGACAGCAGAAGTACTAAACCTAAGGTGGCAGTGACATTTTTTTTTTCAATTTCTTATGTAATATTGTGTCTATGATATATAAGTGATAAAATTACTCAAGTGTATAATAATAAACAAAAAAATAAATTCCAGGATCCGGAACTTGTCAAAGGCATATCGCAGTGGGTGCGACAGGCGATCAAGATTCCCTTCTTTATCAAGCTCACTCCAAATATTACGGACATCGTAAGCATTGCTAAGGCCGCTTATGAAGGTACAGTTACTCCTTATCTAGTAAAATATACAAAAAAGTATAATAACAATGTTTCATCTCAAACAACTTAGAACATTTATAGAAACCATCCGACGTAACTTGTGTACAACGTATAATATAGGTTGGTTCATCGTCAACCTCTAGGAGAAAGGGTTTCAAATGCAAAATGCAAATTTTCTAAATCTCTTTTGTCACGTAAGTTTCATCACGACGTTCTTTTTCCGATAGCGGGAGGTATTGCCTCTATACATTCATAACTTAGACGTTAAATTCATAGATTTTGACGATTTCTTTACAGAGAAACAACGGCTCTGCTACTAGGGTACCACCATTCATAGTATTGTTTTTCTACACATTACATTACAACAACAGCGTTATTGTTAATGTTGCACATGGTTTTATTATTGTTGAATTTTGTTTTTAAGGTGGTGCCAGTGGCGTCTCTGCTATCAACACGGTACAAGGGCTGATGAGTGTGAAAGCTGATGCGACTCCTTGGCCGGCTGTTGGTAAGTGCTTTTTTAAAGTTACATGAAAACAATGGATCGTTATCGATTGATGTTTATAAAAAAAATATAGAGTGTATTGTGCTTGTGCACTACTAACGTGTCAAGTCATAATGTAATTTTGCAACATGTCAACTTCGGCGCAATGTCGAAAGCGTGTTCAACAACAACACCTCTAATCAGTGTAATCTTGCTATCTTCCCAGTCTTTTCAACACTTGCACCTTTAATAGAATTTCATGAGTTGATAGTCGCTAGGTACCGCATCAAATATTTGACAATATTAGGTATATAATGTAAGGTTAAAAGAAAATATTTTTTTTTATTCAAAATACTTTATGCGGTTGCTAGCAAACAAAACCACAATTTACGGTATAGTACAGTAACAACTATTCTCTTAATATCTCTTGACAATCTTCGTGTTCCGGCTGTTGTCGGTTTCTAATGCCCTTTGTAGGTAGGTACTCGGTCTAGACCAGACTCATTCTATCACGACAATCATAGAGTTCAAGGCCCAAGAGTTGGCACTGTGGGCGCTAGATAAGGTGGTCCCGGTTTCGATTCACGATAGCACTAATTTAAAATGAAATTTTCTAAATTGATACTGGTCGAGGTGTTCAGGGCAGTATCCCAGGGTGAATTCCGTTGCTTTGGTACTTATTATAATTAAATTCCCTAGTTTGAGATGGGGCAATTGGCGTGGTTGGACAACCACACATGCACATAAAAAATTATTAAAAAAAGTCGACTTGGAAGTATGTGGAATAGCTACTACTCTTTATTTTCTTCATCTATACGTTTGTTAACTTGCTTGGTATATTGTTCCTGAACTTAATGAGTTAATGTTACTATAAATAGAGAAATATTTTTTCAAGCTTTATAATGTTCATATATTAACCAAAACAAAAAAAAAACAATAAAGTACGTAGTTCTGAATCCAAATTATTATAGCTGGCAATTTATTCAATTACTTGACATGAAAATTTGTATTCGGGTACATTTGGAAATCCAAATCGGAAATCCAAAGATTGTCCAGAGATATTAAGAAAATAATTGTTCTGTGATTCGAATTTCGATTACGATTGGGAATGGAGAGCAGTTGCCAAATTGTATCTACCTAAAAATAAAGATTGTGTCAACATTCGATCAGGTATTGAAAAGCGCACAACATATGGCGGCGTGTCAGGCAACGCAACGCGACCAATAGGCCTTCACGCAGTCTCCGCGATTAGCAAAGAGCTGCCCGGCTTCCCCGTCCTCGGTATCGGCGGCATCGATTCCGCTGACTCTGCATTGCAGTTTATTTTGTGTGGAGCTCCGGTTGTACAGGTATACAGTCGAATCTCAAATTATATGGGGTGATAAAATGACCTAAAATATATAGTAATAATTTTGGTATTCCATTAGCCGTAAGTTACTTGCGAGTTTGAGAAACCGTAGAGCTCATTGTAAAAGAGTTCGTCAAGGGAATTCTTGCCACCTTATTCTAATTTCGCTGCCAAGCAGTAATACTGCGTTCCAGTTTTAAAGGACAAGGGTGCTGGTGAAATTACAGGCACATGGGACTTATCTACTTGTCACAGGGTGAGTAGCGGCAATGCCCCTCTGATCTTTGCGATTTAAAGCTCTGAGTGGCATAGCAGCTGCTATGGATGGACGTGTCGCTTGCGCTTTTTACCATTACACGGTAAAAGAGTTGCATGATTAATTCCGCCTTCCTCTTTCCATCATCGGGGGACAGGACGTAGGCTTGGGTTCCAGCCCTATGTTGTGGATATACCACGGATTCCCACGAAGCGTTTCGCTTCCACATTTATATGGCGAACGGCTACAGAGTGGAATTCTCTGCCTGCTGGGTCATTTCCGGAACGCTATAACTTGGGCCTTTTCAAAGTGAGAGTGAATAGACATTATTTAGGTGTGCCATTGACTTACGTCAATGAGGTGTGCATATTTCATCGCCGACATTATCGTCACTTTCCATCAGGTGAGAAAGTGGTCAAATGCGCACTTTTTTATGAAAAAAAAAAATAGTCCTAAAGAAATAAAAGCAAAAACTTGCAAAATACTTAAAAGTCTAAACAAATATAATAAAGATGGTTCCTTGCTATGGCGATGACGGTGCTGGAAAAAGAAGAAAAATGGCGTTTCGCACAATTTGAACAAACACGCTTAGTATATAAAATATTTCTGGTTGGTTGTATTTGAAGTTCAAATTGGCTTAAAACTGGTATTCAAAATGGCATTATAGTTTTTGATCAACCAAAAAGTTTGTGTTTCCGGGAGTGTATACTCGTACATTCGTGTCAAAGGCCACAGTTCTAATAGAATGTCATAAAACGTTTGGTATTTGCATATCATTGATCCTTGAGCGCAAACCAAATATACTTATTTTTTTGCAATACTATAATAATGCTTGCTTTTGATTTTAAATATTTGTTGAAAATATTCCGTCTTAAGATACTGTTTTAGCCGATTTCAAAAACAGGAAGCCGTTCTCTATTCGACTGCATTTTTATCGTGTATTTTACGCGATTACTTCGTCATTTGTGAACTGATTTCAATCATAATTTTTTTGTAGCAACCCCTTTCCTACCTCACCTCACCTCAGTAGTGGCTCCATACAATTTGAAGAAAATCTTCCACCTATAAGAGGCCAAAGTAGGGGATGGATCCGGTTTATTGGATATCACTCGCTTTCCGTTAACCGATTTCAATAAAATTTGCAAATAGATGTGATTCCACAGACTTTAGAGGTCGATTTGTTATAAAGAACTTATGACGAATAACAATAATACTAATAATGACGTAGCACATTCACAATCACACCGACTCTCGAGATTTCAGGTCTTTCTTCACAGCGCCCCAACGCCAACGGTTCACAAAGGCTGCTGGTCGAATGCATGGATTATAATTGTGGATTAAACTTGCAGATTTGCAGTGCAGTGCAGAACCAAGATTTCACATTGGTAGAAGACTATATAACGGGTTTAAAGGCGCTGTTGTACTTAAAATCGGTAGAACCACATGGTTGGACCGGACAGTCGCCGCCCTTCTACAAGCACCAGAAAGGCAAGCCTGTACAGACACTGCGCGATGACAATGGCATGGTAATGTAAATTTTTTTATTTTACACATTAAGGAAGCGTTAGAAAAAATGGATGGATTAGATATGTGAGGAGAAAAGGAAAGATGCATACATACACGGACACCATGTAATGGGAAATAAGTAAGAGGAGGACGATGAACACAATTGTTATATTTTATATGAATTAATAAATTAATAATTTTGCATAAGAGACTAAAATCCACGTAAATGATAAGTAAAAATGTGTGGCAATGATATGGTGGACATTCGTACCATGCAACAATGGTGATACGATGTTGTTGAACTGCGTAGACCCAATATGACAATATACTTTTATAAACAAATAAATTACTACTACATATTCTGTAATCTGTGCTACTACTGACTATGGAATACTATGACACTTAATGTATATGTAGTCTAAAATTTATTCATGAATCATAATGTATTAATTATATTTTATTCATAAATATATTATGAATTAATATATTTATAATTTTTTTAACGCACACACTCAACGTAGCGCACTAGGAAACCCTGTATCGCGGGCGCCATAGACACACATAGACAACCACAAATTACACCCAAACTCACGAGAAAAATAAGAGTAAGCCATGCCTGGGACCTCTGCGTGGCTGTCCGGCATGGGAACCATTCGGCCACGGAGGCAGTCAAAAAAAATTAACATATAAAGTTAACACATACGTTGCTCCGATCCCAAAGTAAGTAATTACGTCGTTGTTAATCGGAAATAAATAGCAAACAACGACAGTGCCTACCATACACAACCAGTTCCGAGACAATACAAAAGTTAGTTCTACATTGAAATAGGGACCTCAGAGATAGCATGAAAACCGTTTTCCACTCGACCGCGAAGGTCGGCTAATTAATTTCAAAATTTATTTTAGGTACTACCGCATTTTGGGCCGTACAACAAAAAACGTGAACAGATCCTCCACTCGATGAGGCTGAAATCCGACCTGCTCGAAGACAATAAGGTCGACAGTTACTTGCCTAATGCAGTAAATAATATGCCAGTGCTGAAAATACGAGACGTGTTGGGAGCGGCGCTGCCCAGGATTGGTACTTACAAAAATTTGGACAATACTAAACAAGTCGTTGCTTTGATTGATGATGTGAGTGAGCAATTTAATTTTTTATAGATGTATGTTTTTAAATATTTGTATAATGGTTCCACTGTACAGCTACTTCTAATGAAAGGGATTAGACCAGATTCTAACACTGGCCTGATACAGTTCTCCGTCATCCAGGTTTCTTCACCATGTTCTTCTTCAATACATTGGTTTAAACTTTCACGATTTTCACACATTAATTGAATTTCAAAAATAGACAAGAAGAGAACTATAGAAGAGACTTAATCACATTCATATTACGAATATTGTTTAGTATTATTTTTGTTCATGTTTTTCTTTTTACTAACATAGTCACTAAGAAAACTGCTACTAACTAATTTATGGACACCATTGTCTGAATTAAAGACGAAATAAATAAATAAAATCGCGTAAAAATATATTTATTTTATTTACCTCGTTGTTTCGGACGTGTTACAACATCCATGGTCTCGAAGGGACCAACACGACCGATACGTCGAGGTAAATAAATGTATGTTCTTATTCACCATTAAAACAAATATTAGTTGCTAAACTAGACAGCGTCATAAGGCTAATTTGATTTGTATGATAAAGAATTGAATACTTTTGCAGGACCTGTGTATCAATTGCGGAAAGTGCTACATGGCATGCGCTGACTCTGGTTACCAGGCCATTCAGTGAGTATTGAATTTACAAAATGTAGTATAAGCAGTGAAGTTTAAACGTGTCAATAGTTAATTTTGACATCCTCTTTGCATAAAATTAACAAAATAAATAACACAAGCGGAACTACAGGCTGTGCTGTGGCGTCATAGAGCCACACGCTGTCTCTGCGCAGCTGTGTTTTCATCCACCACAGTCCCACTCACAGTACATTTATGAGAATGTAATTTATGTTAAAAGGAATAGTAATTTATTTATGAAAAATAGTGACAGACATAACATTAATACGAGGAATAGAAATAAACTAGCTTTTCTTGATAGTCGTCTTCACAAAGTCAAAAAATCATTTAAGGGGCAATGTATACGCTTCTATAACAAGATTCCGGTTGATATACAAAATTTGCCTTTCACGAGGTTTAAAAATATAGTGAAACAAAAACTTTATACTAAAGGTTATTATACAACTTCTGCGTACTTGGATGACAAAAATCCGTGGTAGTAACCCGTTTAGCTCATGGAGGTAGTCTCGATCTCTGATGTTTCAAATAAAAAATAAAGAAAATATTGTAAATGTTATTTACAAAGAGCAACCCTTAGAGTTTCTTGCTCATTCTTCTCAGGGGAATCTGCCTTACGAATGAGCGGTAGAGTTTAACCATTGTGACGATTTCAAGTGTAATAATACTTACCTATGACATAAAGATTATTTTGAATTTGAATTTTGAATTTGAACCATTTAAAAATATATACTGGGTTATTTCTAAAATACTTACAACCTTGCAGGACTATATATTACTAAAATCAGAAACAACAACTGTTGTTCCATGACTTTTTACAAAACATAATAAATTTACCAATGATCTTATAATTATCAAAAATACATTTTTAACTTTTTGTTGTATTATCTGACACTGTTTAGAGCAGTGCCTCTACCACGACTTTACTGTGACAGTTGTCGCTAGCGAGTAAATTACTTCACAATTCGCACGCCTCATGGAAGAATGGCATAAGTGGAGTTACGTCAAACTTGTTCATTGCTTCATTAGATACAGAAAAATATAACCCATATCCTCTCCAATTCTTGTAACTCTAGCGACTAATATTGTAGATACAATTACAGGAATTGGACAGGATGTGGGTTATATTTTTCTGTATGTATGGAGCAAATAAAATTTTTGACATAACTTCACTTATGCCATTCTTCCATGAGGGGATGCGAATTTTTTATTGCAAATAATACAGCGCCCTTAGCGGTCACAAGAGGAAACAACATTTCGTATATAAACGTTTTACTCGGTCGCTAGCGATAGCTGTCACTCATGGTAGAGGCCACTGTATTTGGTAGTAAGGTAAGTTCAAATGTGCAAATCGACGACTCCTACCCCGTCCTACACATAGTTATTACCGTTTAGAGCGATCTATTTAAATCTATTTATTTTTGTATGGTAATAAAATCTGATGAGTTATTCAAAGTCATGGAACAAAAGTTATTGTTTATGATGTTAGTAAATAGTCCTGCTAGGTTGTCAGAATTTAAAAAATAACCTATATATTTTTTTTACCAAAATCGTTACGGACACTGTGTGTATGAAGGACGTCGGACAGGTTAATTCACTATTTTCTGAAAGTTATTAACCGACTTCAACAAAAGGAGGAAGTTTTCAATTCGATTGTATTTTCTTTGTATGTGTTACGCGATAACTCGGCATTCGTGAACCGATTTCGATGCTTTTTTTGTGTTGGAAAGAGATTACCTCTGTATTGGTCCCATTTAAATATGAAGAAAATCCACCTCTAAGGGTGGCAAAATAGGCGCACTTTCCGGTAACCGATTTGAATAAAACTTGGCAAATAGATTCTACGATTTTTTTAGGTCGGTTATATAGTACTCTGTACTGAAGGTATAATATTGCTTTTTATCCCATAGATTCGATCCAGAAACGCACATCCCGCATGTAACCGAGGACTGTACAGGATGCACATTGTGCTTGTCTGTCTGTCCTATTATTGACTGCATATCGTAAGTAGCTTTTTAAATTGTATGTAAAGTTACCTTTGAACCAGGAAATAGTAGCGCTTTTTTCAACATCGATGTACACTCCGTTGAAGTTAATCTTTTTAACCGTCAAAAGGACGAGGTTCCTTTTATGTAAGTTGTTACGCGATAATTTGTTGTCGGCATTTGTGTACTGATTTTGATGATTTTTTTTTTGTTGGAAGAGGGAGGTACCTCAGTGTTGGTTCCATTCAAATTTGAAGAAAATATTCCATTTTTAAGCGTATCTGATTTCACGCACTTTCCGGTAACCGATTAAATCGGCAAAGTGATGTGATTCCACGAACTTTCGAGGCCGGTTCTTTTTCGTCCTCTTTATTAGGATTGTATTATTGCCTCTTTGTTTATTGCACTTGTAAATGGGCTTTACTTAGCATTAGTTTTTTTTAAGTACTGAATTCCTTTTACAGAATGGTGCCGAAGACAATACCTCACGTGATCAAGAGAGGGCTTCACCATGAAGTTCACCCGGTCACGCCGCTAGACACAGTTAGACTTTGTCAATAATTGTAATTCGTAGTATATTGTACAAATATATATTGAATAAAGGAATTGTAATATATTTTTTAATTATTGGAGGTAGACTGACGTTTACGAAATTTCACCTTCCGAAAAGTAAAGATTTGAAAGGCCTCACTTTGATCTTAAATTTATCCAACCTACATAAGAATCCAAAGAGTAAAGAATTGTACTCGTCGTCTAGGAAAACGCTTCGTGCGATTTCAAATACGAACCTTTGTTGTAATAATGCACACACTCATAGGCTCACAATAGGGAAACCCTGTATCGCAGGTGCCATGAACACACACAACCACAAATTACACCCAAACTCACGAGAGAAAAAAAGGAATGAATTAATGAAATATTCTTTATTGTACATTAAAAATTTAAATGACAACACAGAACAGTAATGTAAGTCCACAGAGTAAGATAATGTACAATAGCGCCCTTATTGCTAAGTAACAATTTCTTCCGGGCAACCTTAGGATATAAATTTAACAGTTGGAATGGGGGTGCAACCAAAGAATATTTTGTAATGAAAGTGGTTATAAATAAATACACTACTTATCAATAAAGTAAATATATAAACAATAATATTAAATACATACAATGCAATGTAAAAAATTAAAATAATAAAATACAATACAATAAATTCTCTCGTCCCGGGAATTGAACCTGAAACCTCTGCGTGGCAGTCCAGCATGGTAACCGCTCGGCCACGGAGGCAGTTATGATAAGCCACATGTGATCAATGTCAAAAGTGCATAATCCTATCAATGAAAAATGAATATGAAATTATGTATATGCGAAATATTATAACTAAAATTGGAGCATAAAAAAGTAATCGACTAATTTCGTTTATCGAATTTTTAAACCTCTCTCAAAAAGTTTCCCATGGCCTCGTTATACCAAGAGTGTAAATTATAGTCTATTACTTTCACTAGATTTGTGTCTTAGAGATAGTCTGTACTGTTTTAATCTGCGAAAAGTATACTTTTTGTATGTTTCTCTAGTGTAATTACACTGATTGTGTATTGGAGTTTTACAGCGTTAAACCAAATAAGGCGGCCCACAACGATGCATATTGTATCAAAATTACCTATATGTATGTTAACCAAGTAACTTCGGCAGATACATTGAATCCATGGCCAAAAATGCAGCTAAGAAGCTTGGCATCCTTTCCAAGGTGAGTCGATACTTCACACCGGGACAGTTGCTTTAGCTGTACCAAGCACAAGTCCGGTCGTGTAAGGAGTACTGCTGCCTCTTATGGGATGACACTGCTAAACACCAACTGGCCACCTTGGATTCAATAGACAAGCGAGAAGCAAAGATAATGAAGAATAGACAAGCAAGACAAGGCTTATAGGTGACTCGGAATTAGTAGAGGCGAAGCTGCAGAACCTTGAACACCGCCGTAGAGTAGCCAACTTATCGGTATTCTACAGGATATATCACGGAGAGTGTGCGATGGAATGTAACTTACTTAACTACTTACTTACTTACTTAATTAACTTAACTGTAATGATAGTTGTAAGAGGTAAAATAAATAAATAAATAAATTAATTAATAAAAGATCCAAATATCAAAATGTTTTTAATATTTTCTTAATAATACAGGAAACAAGGTAAAACACAAAGTATTTTTTGTAAACAAACATGACTACGCATCTTGCAGTAGCGCTTTGGTAATTATTAGTTCACTAATTGTGACTGTAAAAGTGGCTCGTGCGTGTGACGACAATGGCGTTGCAACTGCGCTTTTTATAACGCACACATTCATCGCCCCGCACTAGGGAAACTATGCAAAATTACGCATTATGCCAATGAAGCTTCACAATTGACATCATGCTAGACATTTTCGTTTAATTTCGTCGAGTATTACTTATTAGACAGTAACTGCCCCTGTGGCCGAACGGTTCCCATGCCGGACTGCCACGCAGAGGTCCCAGACTCGATTCCCGGGCCGGGAGAAATATTTGTATGGCCCACATTTATTTCTCTCGTGACTTTGGGTGTAATTTGTGGTTGTCTATGTGTGTGTCCATGGCACCTGCTACACATAGTTTCCCTGGTGCGGGGCTATGTTGAGTCTGTGCATTATTATTATCGTTATAATTGTTTCTGACGGATGTCGGACCGAGATCGAGAATAGAGCCCCAGAGCAGTCACTGCAGTGCTTCTATAAGCAGCTAATTTGAAGGCGCCCTAAGTATTATGTGAAAGGAAAACAAACATAATACAACATGACATTAAAACAACATTAAATATTCTTTTTACTAAAACTTACCAAACACAAATTTGTGTGATTTCATAGGATACAAAATACACATAAATTAGATACACTTTTTTTCAAATGCATAAAAAACATACTACAGGTTATGTTGTTAAGGGCTAATGTAGATTTTAAACGAAGTATGTAGCGCCGAGAGGCTAATTCATGCCCTATTATAAGAGTCATTGTGGACTAATATGCAGCGGCGAAGAGCTGTGTTGAGTAAATGTTCGCCAATACCAACAATTCTCATCTCAGTATGACATACTACTATGACCACCATTTCTGCACAATACTTATAGCATATTGTTATTTTGACATCTACATGCTGCTCAGTCAAAACAAAGATATGAAACTACCCGGGCGTAGATTTATAAAATGAACTTTGACTTCGTTTTTCGTATTTACAAAGCGAACATTGCCGTTTATTTTATTGAATATCATGTTGTTTGTACTAGCATGATATTAATACATTTATTGTGAATATACTCCACTAGTTTGTTGTTATATATCGATAAAGGTTGAATAAACACAAAGAATAATTCCTTCGAATCGGCTGGACTCGGAACCAGCGATCTCGCCATGCCGGGGCTATCGCTCTCCTAACCTTAAGTATTTCTTTGTAAGTGTTTGTTACAAATATCTATTTTTGTTTATTTAATTAAGCCACACTCAGAGTTTATCCGTGATTTCTTGCTTGTGAATAAATTACAAAACTTAGTGAAGCAAAGTTCATTTTGGAAATACAGAAAACTTGCTTAGCCGACTATTTTTGCTAGTCGAAAAGTTCGTTTCACAAATCTCAAACTGCCTTTCCACCAAAGATGTGCGAGGTTGCGAGGCGGTGCGAGGTTTCATTATGGAGTGTTTTCAGCTATGCGCAGGCGGTATGGTGTGGTAGGGTGAGCGGTGGCGATGTGTCAGTGTCAGTTAGTGTCATACTTTCAGTAGTTCTAGTTTTCTACACCGTTTTGCACACACACACGGTGAAATTACAGGCACATGGGACTTGTCAACTTATGTCTCAGGGTGACGGGCGCAATGGCACACACCGCCCTGCTACGTCGCACATATCTGGTGGAAAGGCAGCCTTAGACTCGGCGTAACGTGACACGGCGTTACAGAAACATTTCGTCCTTTATTAGTGAGCTGGGATTGGGAGTTCGAATATCGTTGTGCAGTTCGTCCATTCCGGCACTTGAAAATTGCCAAAAACGTGACCAGATGCTATCGGGATTCTCTTTCAAGGTTAATGCAGATATTGGCTTCGAACAATTATAATGTTTTTTAGTAACAACATAACGCGTTGGCTTAGCAGTGTCCTGTTCTTCTATAATATGTAGCTTCTTGCATAGGAAACATATAAATTCATGAGCTGTTTTTGTAACCTGATTTTGGTAAGGTCTTGCTTCTAATTCTTCCATTAAGTTTTCGTTTGAAATCTTCCCCAAAATTTTATGTTCAAGGTATTCGTCGTAAAGGTTGTCATCTTTCATTAGCTTGTTGATATAGTCGCTTAGTAATTTTGGCGTCGGGAAGTCTTGGAGGAGAATCGCCGATTTGTTATTAGGAAACCAATCCCTTGCTGAAATAGAACCAAAGTAGATAGGCACTACACCTGCGTGCAGCGCTTGCCAAAATTTTTCAGAAATATAATCCTCACAGATGGAGTTCTCTATTACTATCACAAACTTATAAAATCCGATGAATTTCAAAAGGTATTCGTTGTTAGACTGGACAGAGAGCGGCAGTTTCCTGTTGTTCAAACATTTGCCGTAGGAATCAATCTTCTGGAATTTCATTAACTCTATAACATATGCGTCTCTTTCTGTGGAACAATTGCAGTCTGACTGTATGTAAAGAATCGGAGCTATATTGCGTAGATAGGCAGTCTTTGCAGGTGTAGCAACATAATATTCGACACTTATTAAATAGTCTATTGTATGCAAGTATCGTAAAGGAAAAGGAACGTCACTATGCCGGCTAAAGGTTGCTGAGAAATTGAACAAGTTTAAAATTTTTTCGGTTATAATTTTATTTTCATTCATTGCAAATCTGTCCATAAGAGCCCATAAGTGTTTGTTAGGGTTTCGAGGTACCGGCAGATTATTGAAATTGAAGCGGCCGGTGGTGAATATGTACACTCCTCCTTCGTCGTTCGCGAGCCTATACGTAGAGCCGTAAAGTGCACAAGGCAGGGCAGTACCTTTACATCTGCAGTAAATGACTTCCTTAGTAAGCGGCGAAAATTCTTCAGTCCACCAAATTATTGACGGATTTTTATTATGCTTTATAATAAATATATCTTCCGATATTTGCCTGTCAGTTGTAGTGGTTATGGTAGTTCGTTTTTTATGGACGAATTTAGGGTACCAAACATTTGTAATAAAGGAGAGGAGCAATAACAAAAAAAGCACAATAAAGTAATCAGAACAATTGCGTCGCCATCGTTCTCGGGGGCCAGCACAGAAGCGAGACTCTCGTCTAGGTATGTTATTTTCAGGCTTTATTGCACTTGACAGAATTTTAAACATTTTAAAAATTTTTAATTTAACTTATAAAATTTAAATCAAGCCCAAACTGCCTGAAAAAATGACAAATGTAAGTTTGAAAATTAATTTTAATTCTCTGCACATACCTATCTGTAAGCATCCATTTTTATGGTTAGAACTAACCCGCAATCTCAAAGAAGGTTGAACTTGAAGATTGAAAGACTTGTTTAGGTCTTTTTGTACATTGTTACCAAGAACAATGAATTGAAAATGGAAATATTTTAATCTAGATG